TTATCATTATTACCATCGTCTTCCAGGACCTGCGACCATACTGTACATTCAGTAACTCCAACAGCTGCGTCAAGCAAGAGTCCAGGCATAAACCTACAGTGGTATTCCTTAACAAGGCAGTTTTCGTTACAGATGCCTCATCATGGCATCGCGTATAATACCCTATAATACCCTCAAGCACTTCATAGATTATGTATATTAGATTCACTGGCTTGTAATTATTCGTTCAGTGGTGATCGACCTCATGAATATAAGACTCATTATGCTAATATCTTGTGTTCGTTCATAATTCTGCTGAACAATGTTGCTCCGGAGTTCTGAGAACTCGTTACTCAAGTCCCGGTAATTGCTTTGTTCAAACAGGAGTCTAACCTTACCTAACCAATTTAATTTGATTAAACTAACTTAACCTAACTACTAAATTACCGAACCAATTTAACCAAGGAACGAGTTCGTAGGTTAACCAACAACCTTTTCTCTTTCTTACCTTATGAAAATCCCAAATGACAGGGATTTGCAATCTTTGTACTGTTAGTTTCTTTAAGCATATATTTTTTTCAACACAACGTTTTCTACAGTAGTTTGTTAACCTGCGCCACCGTTCCTAACACAACCTATCCCTACTTTGCTCCTCGACTTTTGTGCCTTAATGATACTATTATGTAGTATCGATGGCATATTCTTCTCCACTATACAGTATGTTCTACCTAATTTATTTATTTGTTTCTTTTTTGCATCAATATTTGCACAGTTACTTTGCATTAGTTTGAGAGTCTACACCTTATAATAAAGGGCGACTGTGCTTGGTGATCAAAACACCGGGACACACACAGGCTTAAAGTGATCCTCCACTGTCTAGATCATGCCGAAGAAGCTGTAAATTTCCGAGTTAAATACTCACTGTTAACAAGGCCACTGAACCACACTTTGGCATAGTTTCGAGTTCTTCCAGTTAGGTCTTGGTTCAGCTTGGTAAGCCGTTGACCACGTCGTGTCATAATATGGTGTTCATAGTCTCCTCCCTGGTTCTTGACTACTACTGGTAGTCTATAATAATGCTTCGTGGCGATTTGTTCCTTTTTTTTCCTTGGTTTTCTGTAAAATCTCTCCGTGTTTCCATATTTACCACGATGCATCACCTTCGCCACAGTTAACAAGTGTCAACAACAGCCTTCTGGACGAGACTGTTGGTGAGGTGACAGCTGATACCCAGCTCCAGCAGCAGGCTTACGACACACAACACTTCTTCACCTCTCGAAACCAACCTAGTTTAGCCAACAAAAATAGAAACAACGAGATTCACCCTCAATGTATATGAAGTTCCAGGCATGGGGCGATTAAGTTTCAAATTTAACTCGTTAAGTTAATTTTCATCTTTTCCAGTTTAGTTAAGTTAACCTGATTTTTTGAACATTAGTTAAGTAAAAAAAAATCGACTAAGTTAAGTTAACCAGTTTGTGTCAAATTTGCTTAGGGAAATTTTCATGTGGATTAAATAACTTAATATCGTGTAAATGTTTTCCAGAAGAGTCAATGAATACTGTAGTTTGAATACCTGAATAGTGAGGCCGTCTGGCACACTACTTTCTTGGTATGTATAAGTCTTGAGATAAAATAATTATAAATTCTGACTTTTTTGTCACGTGTTTATCACTGCAGACAACTGAGTAACTGAGAGGCAGCAGTCTGGCTACGAACGTTTCGTGTCTGTACAGGAAAGTCAACAGTAGGGCTACTCACTGGGCGCAATGGCTGGTGTGTTATATATTATTTGTTACTTTTTCTAAGGAGTTAATTGATAATTAATCGAAGTTATTCAATTAATTTGCCAAATTTTTCTTTTAAGTTAAACTGTTATTTAAAAAAATAACTAGTGAAGCTAAGTTAATTTAACTTAATTGTTAACTTGTAGAAGTTAATGATTAAGTTAACTAATTGCCTCATGCCTGATATGAACTCCATCGCCTAAACTAAACCAAATTCATGAGCGCTCTACAGTGTGTAACCCACTTGACAAATGTTGTGTGTCGCCTGCTAGACGATAACTCTAACCTGGCGTACACCTGTGCGGTGACGTCAGTCACCTGCAATTCTTCTAAAGCTGTAATTCATTGTTTTTTTTATTAAACTGGCTGCTTGTATGTCTTGGGAACTACTCGGTTATTCTCTCAGAGCATCAATCAATTTGTTATAAGTACAAACAAAAAATTTAACAATGTAAGATGAAAAAGTAATTGAAGTAAGAACGCATTCTTCAATTTATTTTTCAACTAAAACCCACTAAGCCTATTTCATAAATGTTTCCCCATAACTTGTGCGTTTTCTCTAACACCTGAACTGAACTCCATTTTCTGTACAGTGGTCCCCGTGACCTTCTCTTCTGGGCGGAACTATACAAAATTTTTGTCTTACCATAATCCGATATGTACTGGTCCTAGTGGCATACCAAAGGGGCGGGGATACTTAATTTTTATCTCTGTTTATGTGTAATGAAAAGGTGAGTTAATTCTATTTAAATCTATTAACTTATTTATGTTCCTTGCACTGGCCAGACGTAAGTTACACCCGCAGTAAATTAAAGTGTGAAAATTTGATATCCTGAACATAATGCAGGCAAAGAACAGAGATTAGTAAAAATATAACATTATATACGGATCGGCAATTTATTATGAAACGAAATAAAAATTAGTTCAGACTTCAGTGGAGGTGTCAGATTCTCGCCCCAGTAGAGGTCACAGCTTTAGGTTGAAGAAGCCACAAGTTCAAAAAAAATTTCAGGGCAAACGTAATCAGAGTGAGGGTTGTGAACTCTTGGAACAATCCCCCAGAGAGCGTTGTAACGGCACCGAATGTGAGCTCATTCAGACCAGACTTGACCAACACTTGCGCAGATACTGATACACCCTGGAGCCAGTACATGGTCATTATTGGTCAAAGGTATGTAAAAAGAGACATAACTAACCATCCAAGTGACTAACGAGCCGATCAGTGGCGAAGAGGATACTGTATAGTGTATATTAAAGTATAGTTTCACGTAATTAAAGAGCACTGAAGGAACGCTAGTTGGTGGCAATGGTGACGGTAAGTGTTGCAAAAATCAGCAGCAAAGTAGAAACATCTGGATACACAACCAATCTTGTTGACAGTGACATGACTCGAGAACATGTTCCGGCTTCTCCTCATGTTCTCGTTTCTTCCAATAACTCTGCCAGCACACTGAGCGTAGACTCCTGCAGTGTCGAAATGCTAATATTTGGTTGGTGTTGTGCCACTGTAGGGTCCAGAAATAAAGCTGTGATAGTATTGTTATGCTACATAAAGTTCTGGCGACTAACGGTTCCAGATATCTGGGTGACATCTCCGTACACCTCATCAGCGTGTGTGAAAAGGTTAGATATATCGTACCGTTACTAAGTACAGATCAAATTACTGCGCCACACTATATTTTCATCTCTGTAAATATTCTCGTCAAAATGACTATTGCTATGCCAAATGCTTAAAATTATATTTGTACTGCACGTAAAACTTCAACAGACAAGTCTTTTCCCAACAATTCCCGAGTACAGAGCAATACTGGCGGATGACCGAGTTAATCAGATTGTATGGCTGTATCCTTAGACTTTTGGCAGTACAAAGCAGAGGAGGCGCGACAGCCTGCCCTCCTCCCCTCACTAAACCACTGATCAGCACCTTAAACTTTTACGACCTACGTAACCAAGTTAATTTTGAATAAAAACCTTAACTTTCTTAATCAACAATAATGTAAGTGTAATGTATTTTTTCTTTTGTTTTCTCTCATTATTTTTCGCTTGACTATCACTTGTTACCGAGTTGAATGTTTTAATATGTAAACACAGTAACCAACGTATAAGCTAACCATAGTTTTTAAAGTACAGTCACACATTATAACATCTTATTATTACATATTACAAGTACTGTACCGCTTGGCTCTCTGCTGCCTGTGCTCATATATTACCACTTCTATCAAAATACTACCCAGACATGTTTCTAAATACAGAACCTAGAGCTGTGTTATAACTTCCTAGCTGCTGTGTTATACCAAATTCACTAATAATATAAGAAACAATTTTGGTCTTAAAACTAAAGAAAAATATAAGTGAATTCGGTCACCTGGATACTGGGGCTCTGAGTGTGAACTGCGAGACTTGTGTTGTCATTGATACAGTGTCTGGGTTATGTCTACACCTTGTGATGGTTCAAGACAGGATTATTTCTGCCATAATGAATCATCCAGTAAAGAACATCAACTCATTACCTCCAAAAAACTGTTCTTATGACAGTTTTTTTTCTAGAACTATCATTATTATTTTTATTATCATTATTATTATGGTCAATAAGTTTAGGAATAACAAAGTCATTAGTTGGATATTCAATCTTAATAGATAATTAGTGTCACGAAGATATGGTCACCTTCTGGGTAATTTACCTTTGAGGATGTTATGTCACTTTTATATAATTCAATGTTGGATTTCATGGAATATACTGTACAACACTTGAAATATATTTTGATAAACCTTTATATGTAATTTGTGTAGAGATAAAGATGGTTGAAGGAAATTAAAAGGCGAGCTTCGGGGCACAGTCGTCAACCAGCGGACCAGGTAATGACGTAATGACACCCTGGTTGACTGAGAGATATTTTTGTTACTTACAATAGTGAGTTTTTTCCTCCGTGTTTTAGTTCTATTTATGGTCATGTTCAGGCTACGGCACTATGTTTAATAAAGAATTTAATTTGGATTCCTGAGAAAGTCCTCCCCCCCAGTGTCGTGCTGAGAACCCTTCAGTGTACGTATGTCAAGTCTAGTTTAAGTCGGTGTAAAACTGTAGGAAAGGTTACTTGAGTTTGCAGCACTGAAGACGCTCCTCCCGGTGGAAATAACTTTAAACAAACACATTAATGGTGGGAAGAAGATGGTGCTGTAGGACTGTGGGCTACAGCGACGGCCACTGAGTGTCATGTTGATCAATACACAATGTTTTTATTTTTATTTATTGTCAAACAACAGTACAAAACGAGGTAAAAAAACAAAGATGAGGTAAGTTACTATATACACGGTATATATGGCTGCCACGCTAACGATGGCGTAGGGAGCTCAGGTGACTTAATGATAAACAAACAACAAGGGGAAGCCTGGGCGCCACTACCACTGGCTAGCACCACTATCATAACGACCACCTCGCTCACGACGACCACCACACGACACACTGCTGTGTCGTCCACGGTTATGGTTTCTTGGTTTATGTGGATGAGATGTACTGGTGGTGTGGCGGGAAGAAGGTACCAATAGTGGTCAGCGTGGGCGAGGGATGAGCACCACGTTATCATCAATATCCTCCTCCATATCCTCCGTCTCCCCCTCCTCCTTTGCCGCCGCCAAAGCCGCCCTTGCCGCCGCCCTTACCGCCAAAGCCGCCAAAGCCGCCGCCTTTGCCTTTGCCCTTGCCACCAGAGCTGCCGTGGTGGACGGGGATCTTGTGTACATAGACGGGCTGGTAGGTGACCTTGGGTACGGTCACCAGCTGCCACTCCTGTACGTGGTGTACTACGGGTTTGTGCACCAGGATTGGGGGCGGGGCGGTATGCACCATAATGGGCTTCTTCACGTACACTGGATGATGTTCCACCACAGGCTTATGAACCACTACGGGCTTGGTCACCTCCACAGGCTTGTAGGTGAGTACTGTCTGATGGGCCACGTAGCCGCCGCCGTATTCATGGCCGTAGCCGCCATCGCCGCCGCCCTTGCCCTTGCCCTTCCCGCCAGGCACACATGACGCTGACGCCGCTAGGAGCAACACACATACGGCGGTCTGTAAGTACCAAGCAATTTGGTGTTAAATATAAAGTAGATTTATACACACCATTCACGCCAGTCAGTGTGCTCTCTCCCATACCCTGCTACAGCCTTTACCACCTCCAGGAAACAGCCAGGGAAGATTTTGGGAAGTGTCCTGGAAAAAAATATATTTACTTGTGTAGAGACAACCAGTGACAACAACCAAGTCTCAGCCACACACACTGTCAATGACATAAACAATACTCATCAGTTATCATTCAACACCTGTCAAACATTATCGTAAATAAAATGAACTAGGCAAGTAACGATTACAACCAAGAGCCGTCATAACATAGTCACACCAACACTATAGGGTCTCTCCACGGGTGGGAGGGTGTGGGGAGGTGGAAGAGAAAAATGAAGACGGGTCCTATAACCACGAAGGCCAGTGTACTAAGCCTTCAGTATGCAAGGAGGCAGGGTGGCCGACACTGCACTCGACTTCCTTTACTTCCCCAATTTGTAAAGTTAGGTACCCGTTTACGGCTGGGCAGACAGAGAGAGTCCAGGGATCCAACCAGCGACTGTTTGTAAGAGGATAAGGAGTAATAGTGTGAGTATTGGAGGAAGTGTGTAGTAGCATGGCTCATAGGTTAAGGAGCCAGCAAGGTGTCCAGAAAATAAGAGCTACACCTCATCTACGTCTTCCTCTCTCCTTCATGGTCCCCATCTCAACCCGAGGGCCTCTCACCCTTAACTGAGGGCCCCTTACTCCTGACTCAAGGTCCCTCACTGCCAACTCTAGGTCATCACCCCTACCCAGGGACCCCGCTCTAAGTGAGGGAACCCCCTCCCTCCCTCCCTCTCTCTCCCTCAGGCAGCGTGGCGAGGACCACTTCCTGGACAAGTTCTTGTGGTGGTAAAGAAATGCTGGGCCGGTGGTGCGGGTCTGGCAGCCTCCCTGATCACCACCACGTTCTCTCGTCTCCCAGCGTCACTCATCTCTGGTCCGCTCCCCCGTACACTCTTACCACAGCATCTCTCTTTCTCACGTCTTTCAGTATTATAGTTTTCCTTAAAGCTTTCCTCAACGTGTGTTCGTGTTCCACCCTACTCTCTCTTATGCTGATCAACATTTCCTATTTACTCTCTCACGTCATCTACCTGTACACCGACCCTTATGCTATATTGTTAAAGGTGTGTTTAGTGTGTAACAGCGTTTAATGACGACTGGTAATTGACTCTGACACGTGCTACAGATGACTGAGCTACTTGTTAAATATTTAAGGTGAGCATAAATGGTGACAGGTGTTACTAGTAGGAGGCCAGACAGGTGTTACTAGTAGGAGGCCAGACAGGTGTTACTAGTAGGAGGCCAGACAGATGTTACTAGTAGGAGGCCAGACAGGTGTTACTAGTGGGAGAGCCAGACAGGTGTTACTAGTAGGAGGCCAGACAGGTGGTTGAGCTAGTAGGAGGCCAGACAGGTGTTACTAGTAGGAGGCCAGACAGGTGTTACTAGTGGGAGGCCAGACAGATGTTACTAGTGGGAGGCCAGACAGATGTTACTAGTGGAGGCCACACAGGTGTTACTAGTAGGAGGCCAGACAGGTGTTACCTAGTAGGCCGAACAGGTGTTACTAGTGGGAGGCAGACAGATGTTACTAGTGGAGAGCCAGACAGATGTTGTTACTAGTAGGAGGCCAGACAGGTGTAGTTGTTACTAGTAGGAGGCCAGCAGGTGTTACTAGTGAGGAGGGAGGCCAGCCAGACAGGTGTTACTAGTAGGAGGCAGACAGATGTAGTAGGAGGCCAGACAGGTGTTACTAGTTACTAGGCCAGAGTGCCAGACAGGTGTTAGGAGGCCAGTACCTGGGGAGGCCAGACAGATGTTGCTAGTAGGAGGCCAGACAGATGTTACTAGTGGGAGGCCAGACAGGTGTTAGGAGGCCAGACAGGTGTTACTAGTAGGAGGCCAGACAGGTGTTACTAGTAGGAGGCCAGACAGGTGTTTACTAGTGAGGAGGCCAGACAGATGGTATTACTAGTAGGAGGCCAGACAGGTGTTACTAGTAGGAGGCCAGACAGATGTTACTGAGTAGGAGGCCAGACAGGTGTTACTAGTAGGAGGCCAGACAGGGCCAGACAGGTGTTACTAGTAGGAGGCCAGACAGGTGTTACTAGTAGGAGGCCAGACAGGTGTTACTAGTAGGAGGCCAGACAGGTGCACAACATAACTCCACCACCACCACTTTAACACACTCCTCATAACGGACTTTCCTTTATATAGTCCGTTAAATAGAGACTTCGTATCTAACGGACCCTCTATATAACGGACTTCCCTCTCCATACAGTCCGTTAAATGAAGGTTTTATCATATAACAAAGTAATGACGATATACTTCACACACCCCGATATATATTCTATCAGCCTACGATCACTTCGACATACACAGCATGTAATATGTGTGTATGTATGTACTGTATGTAATGTTGTATGTATGTATGTATGTGTGTATGTATGTACTGTATGTAATGTATGTGTGTATGTATGTACTGTATGTAATGTATGTGTGTATGTATGTACTGTATGTAATGTTGTATGTATGTATGTACTGTATGTAATGTTGTATGTATGTATGTATGCATGTACAGTATGTACTGTAGGTAATGTATGTATGTATGTATGTATGTATGTATGTATGTAACTCAAAAGAACGACTCTACCTTAAAGATTTCTATCGTCATGTGTTTGGCGGCTTCACTTCCTTATAAAAATACTTCCCTGCTATTTTCAAGTTGCATTACAAGCGAATATAAAGTGTTGCGATAAGACTCCACTAAACACACCGAGAAAGTGTTTCACCAGCCAGCAAAACAATGTAAAACTTTCCCTTCCAAGTCAGTAAGAAATTCACGAGTATTGATAGTGCAGGCATTAAATTCGCTGCCTTTCACGCACGATCCTCTCTGTCTCTCTCTCTTCTCACCCCTCTCTCTCTCTCTTCTCACCCCCCCTCTCTCTTCTCACCCCCCCTCTCTCTTCTCACCCCCTCTCTCTTCTCACCCCCTCTCTCTCACTTCTAACCCCCGCGCTCTCTCTCTCTCTTTCACTTCCTCGAGAAACATGCGTCACATCACCCCACCTTTCACTTAATGGTAACCTGAGGGTGGCAGGTATGACCGACAGTTACCCCACGTGGTAATTAACACCTGAACAACACACGCGCAATAAGTCATGGAACACGACAATGGGTGAAAGTATGCCTGAAAAAAAATATACTCTCATAAGAACTACAAGAACTACCTCCAAATAAACTAGAGAAAGAAAGAAAAGGTACAAATTGGAGGTAATGAACCGTGAACCGTAGTAGTGGTGGTGGTGTGGGTCAGCTTGTCTTGCCCAGGTAAACAATATCTGGTCACGACCTTGCCCCTCTCCAGCCCAACACCTATACATTTATGGTTTAAGTTGGACCACCCTGCTGCTGACCCATTATTTATCACCCATCCTATTTTTCCTTACTCCTGGCTGCTCCTCCATCACTATCATCCACACACACACACATACACACACACACACACGCACACACATTCTTTGGTTTTGATGTGTACATGTGAAAGGAACAGTCAGATTTTGCGTTAATAGTCATCATAATCATCAGAGTCACTAGCAGGATTCATACTAGCTGGAACACGAATAAATATTAACATTCAATGATAACTTAACATTCTTGAAAACATCTTCACGCTGATGACGTAAACCTACATAACAAAGTTAACTTATCACACAACTTAACTATACACAAGTTTCAACATTAACATAAAATTAATAAAATTCCTGAGAGAAATTTAAGAAAACTGTGCATTTATAAAACTCGTGTTATTATCAGTTATCAAATATCTCAATGTTAACCCTCAGTAATACTCTAGTTTAACTTTCTTGTGGAGGAGTGGTGTGTGTGAGAGTGTGATCATCCCGTCAACATCCGGGTGGAGTGGTGTGCGGCATTCAGGTAAGCTGATGTGTATTAAGAGATAGTAGAACAGGTCATGACTTTCCCCACACCGAGGCCCCAACAGCAGCAGCATGCACCAAGTAAGGCCACGATGATGATGATGATGAAAACACCTCTCACCTTGCCCCATGTTACACCACCTTGTAACATTGGTGATGGGAAGGAACGCAGACTACTCGACACCAGAACACAAACAGGCCATTAGACAAGATGTAACTATGGAACTTTAATACGGTATCAAACACTCTCTGTAGGTAAGAACTAGACTATTTTTTTTTACTCTCTGAATGGCTAGTTATAAACAGCGACTAATATCTTGGTTAAAAAGATAAAGGAACACAAATTTCTCGCCTAAAAGCTTCACCTGTACCTGGCTGCCTCTAACTCTTTCCCAAGTTGCTGGCTCAGGGCTTTTCTCTCCCCCCCCTCTCTCTCTCTCTCTCTTTTTGGTGAGCGAGCGAGTAAACATAAATTGATAGCTCAACCGGTTTTTGTGATACACTCTTCCTGCAGTCGTCAATAATACCTGGCAATGAACCCCAGGACCAAAACAAAAGAAAGTGCACCTGTTATTCATTAGTCATTAAACAGGTAAATCAATCAATCAATCAATCAGGTTATAAGTTAAAGTAAACCTGAAGAACCTGATCATATAATTATAGTGAGGGACCTATTAAATAAACATAGGTACAGCAGGTGAGAGAATAATGAGGCAGGTGGAGAGAGAGAGGTTGTCACTTAGGAGGGGGGACAATACGGTACATAAGGCAACTCTTACTGCCTGATTCCCTCTGAACTGTCTCTACACAACACACGTAATGACTGTCTCTACTGGCGTATGACTGGGAAATCGGTAAAAAAAATCTTGTGGAAAAAATTAAGTCAGTCAAGTCGACACTGTTGATGATCAGGCACAGGTAAGAGACGAGGAACCTGATGACCAGCAAAACAAGTCAGGTCCGCCAGGTGAAGGAAAATCAGCCGAGTCATGGAACACTGGAAGTCACCTGTGTTATTTATGAATCAACCAGGTAAGGTGACACCTGGGGGAAGGTGTCTGGCTCCACCACCACATCTTATACTATCGTTCTTCATACACATTATCTACTGAGAGCCTCGTCAACACAAACAACAAATACAACACTACAACTCAACAACACAAATTACCTACGAACACCTGAGGTCTTATTGGTGTAATGTATGAAATAAATTGGCTAGTAAATTTAATATATACATTATGACACATCTTGATATTAAAGTAAACATGATGATAATAGTGTGTGTGTGTGTGTGTGTGTGTGTGTGTGTGTGTGCAAGTGACCGAGCAACTTGACCCGCATGATCCTTCACCCCACTCTCACTCTCACCTGTGGTGGAGCACTACAGGTGAGGGTGTTTCTTCTTGGGATTGTCTATACCCTGTATGTGTAAGTGGTAACTGTGTGTGTGTGTGTGTGTGTGTAATCCTACGTGCACAGGTGTCAGAAGGGTGAATGGCAATATACTCAAAGGTGTACACATCTGTAAATATGTTTGGGTCAGTAAATATATATATATAAATCTCTATCCTGACCACCACCACCACCACCACCAGGAGGAGTCAGGGTAGTGCTGGCCCATCGGTGAGCACCTCCTGACGAAATGACAGTCGATCTCCACTCAAACCATCACCAAACTGAACGTGACCCACCCCTCAGTGACCACACCACCGCCACCACTCACACACACACGCGATGCCTTACCTGAACCTTCATCTTGGAGTGACTGTACACTGCCGCCTCGCCGCTCACTTATATACCTGGAGTTTTGGAGTTGGGAGACCAGGCTACTTTTACCTCTACGCCTTTCTATATGTGAGCGGGCGGCGCCTCAGCCTCGGGCGTTTGTTTTGGCGTGGTTTTTGCTTGACATGATCTTTACCAGCCGTGGCCACTCCCATACCTACGCACCATCAACCACAACTGGGCCACGTGTAACCATGTCCTATACCGTGTCTCTGCGTGTGAAGAGTGTCCAGTAGTAGCCATGTCCTAACACTGTGTCTCTGTGTGTATTATTAACATGTGAGGAGAGCCAGTGGAGTCTTAACAGAGCCAAGGGAGTCTCAACAGAGCCAAGGGAGTCTCAACAAGCCACGGGAGTCTCAACAGAGCCAAGGGAGTCTTAACAGAGCCAGAGGAGTCTTAACAGAGCCAAGAGAGTCTTAACAGGACCAAGGGAATCTCAACAGAGCCAAGGGAGTCTTAACAGAGCCAGTGGAGTCTCAACAGAGCCATGGGGTTCTCAACAGAGCCAAGAGAATCTTAACAGAGTCAAATGAGCCTTAACAGAGCCTGAAGAGTCTTAACAGCACCAGAGTCGTCAGGGAGCAGCGGCGAAGGTAGTAACGGTTGGAAGGAAGGGTTAGGTTAGGTTAGGACTGGAACCCACTAGACCAGTTACCATACAGCCTGAGGGATGAAGGGAGGTAGACCAGGGGAGAGACGGGAGAGACAGGTGAGGTAGAGAGGTAGACCAGGTGAGGGACGGGAGAGACAGGTGAGGTAGAGAGGTAGACCAGGTGAGAGACGGGAGAGACAGGTGAGGTAGAGAGGTAGACCAGGTGAGAGACGGGAGAGACAGGTGAGGTAGAGAGGTAGACGAGGTGAGAGACGGGAGAGACAGGTGAGGTAGAGAGAGAGAACAAGGTCGTAGAGTACAAGGGAGTAGAATGGTAGATTATGAAGAGAAGAGAAGAGAACTTGAGATATTTTTCACATTTAGCATCAATAAGACAAACTAACTACTGTAATCAAACTGTAATTTAAGGTAATGTATCATCTCTGTAATAAACAATGTTAATACGTGAACACAACTCTGTAACCTCTGCTTCTTGTTCAGATTGTGTCCAACCACTCCCAGGATGAACATAGGTGTGCACAATAAACTAGCTGGTTGGAACAAAACTGAATTGAAGAGTTGAATGTACGGTCGTGTGAGGTCAAAGGTTAGCATGTAGTAGATGTTAGTGATATGACCAAGTAAGGAGTTGGGAGGAGGGGGAGGTGAGGGGGAAGGGGAGAGGGAGAGGAAGGGGTGGTGGGGGGTATACGTGTATGTTTGGGCAATGGTTAGAAAGTTGTCTTATTTATTGTAGAGTCAAACAGAATCTGAATAGAATGTTGGTGTTTCATATAACTTAGATGCGGAAGATAAATGTTTTTTGTCACCCCTTGAGAAAGACGCCAACCCACTAGGTACACTGATGGAAAAATATTCACATTTTCAGTACGATGACTTGAACCTTTGTACATTATCCCTTCAATGTGATGTATTGACCTTTTAAATACGATGACCTATTTGCTTAAGTACGATGTAATTGTACATTAAGGTTAGGTCATCGTACACCAGAAGTTAACCCTTGTGTACGGTGTCGCCTCTGACCCGAATAAAATAGTTTGGCGTTAGGCAAATAAAATATTAAAAGAGGCGTCCCTGTGGTGAAGGGGTAAATGGAGATAGTCTATTAAACTCAGAATATCTTGTGTGACCGGAATTCTGTCCACTCATGTGTAGGTCTTAAAGGAGATCACACTAAAAGATAGACGCGTGTGTGTACGTCACGCACGGTGTCTTGGTAAAACCTGCAGGCTGTTTCACCCGGGACGACGTTAGAATGCAATACACAGGGGAATGGTGCTTCAGGGACCTGTCATGTAAAGTGCCGAGTTGTGTCTCTTACCAGTACGTAACTGATGCCACATCACGTTCCTTGCATTTCCTGTCCAGTTCCCCGAGGACTGAACATGGCCAGATAGAATACAGACGAAACCTCGCCACGGGAGTATTGTGCCAGGCTACTCGAGGAAGGCGACGTTTCCCAACTACGAAATGGAATGTCGACATTAAGGAAGTGAGTGTGTGTTACAAGGCGTCGTGTGCACACTCTTTTAACTGGAGAGTTCACAAAGCCTTCTACAGTATACCGTATATTCGATCTGTACTTATATGACTCAAGAGTTTTCTGTGACAACCTTTACACACACACACACACACACACACACACACACACACACACACACACACACACACACACACACACACACACACACACACACACACACACACACACACACACACACACACACACACACACTACATGAGCCTTGTGGAGACGAGCACCTCCATCTTTCCCGCTAAAGAACACACATACAAGTATAAGGAATTGTGTGTTACTTACTGTTATGCATTCTACATGTTCTGTTCATTATGTTCTCTCTGTTCTTCCCCTTCCTTTGTAGGTGTAGTTTAAAGCTTTATATACAGACACTCACAGCTGGCGGATGTTTACAAGGAGGGACGGTAAATTTCTTCCCCTGGGTGATGTAACTCCTCCCTCCCTCCCCTGGGTGATGTAACTCCTCCCTCCCTCCCCTGGGTGATGGCTCCTCCTTCCTCCCTGGGTGATGTAACTCCTCCTTCCCCCCCTGGGTAATGTAACCTCCCTCCCTCCCCTGGGTAATGTCCTCCTCCCTCCCCTGGGTGATGTAACCTCCTCCCTCCCCCCCTGGGATGTGTAACTCCTCCTCCTCCCCTGGGTGATGTCTCCTCTCCTCCCTCCCCTGGGTGATGTAACTCCTCCCTCCCTCCCCTGGGTGACCCTTCCTTTGGGTGACTCTCCCTCTCCTCCCCTGGGTGATGTAACTCCTCCCCTGGGTGTGATGTCTCCCCTGGGTGATGTCTCCTCTCCTCTCCCTGGGTGATGTAACTCCTCCCTCCCCTCCCCTGGGTGATGTAACTCCCTCCCCTGGGTGATGTAACTGATGTCCTCCTCCTCCCCTGGGTGATGTAACTCCTCCTCCCCTCCCCTGGGTGATGTAACTCCTCCCTCCCTCCCCTGGGTGAAACTCCTCCCTCCCTCCCCTGGGTGATGTAACTCCTCCCTCCCTCCCCTGGGTGATGCCTCCCTCCCCCTCCCCTGGGTGATGTAACTCCTCCTCCCTCCCCTGGGTGATGTCTCCCTCCCTCCCCTGGGTGATGTCCCTCCCCTGGGTGATGTAACACCTCCCTCCCTCCCCTGGTTGATGTTCCTCCCTCCCTCCCCTGGGTGATGTAACTCCTCCCTCCCTCCCCTGGGTGATGTAACTCCTCCTCCCTCCCCTGGGTGATGTAACACCTCCCTCCCTCCCCTGGGTGATGTAACACCTCACCTCCCTCCCTGGGTGATGTCTCCTCCCCCTCCTCCCCCTGGGTGATGTAACTCCTCCCTGGGTGATGTAACTCCTCCCTCCCTCACCTCCCTATGATGTAACCTCCCTCCCTCCCTGGGTGATGTAACTCTCCTCCCTCCCTCCCCTGGGTGATGTAACACCTCCTCCCTCCCCTGGGTGATGTGACACCTCCCTCCCCTCCCCTGGGTGATGTAACTCCTCCCTCCCTCCCCTGGGTGATGTAACTCCCCTCCCTCCCTCCCTGGGTGATGTAACTCCTCCCTCCCTCCCCTGGTGTGTAACTCCTCCTCCTCCCTGGGTGATGTAACTCCTCCCTCCCTCCCCTGGGTGATGGAGACTCTACAGGAAGCCAAACGTAACTTTCACTTTTGAGTCACGAAGTCAAAAGCATGATGACTTCCTATCCTTAAGAGATTGAGAGACCTAACATATTAGTTAAGGGAAGTCATGTATGTATGTATGTATGTATGTATGTATGTATGTGTGACAATAAACCAACGGCATCCACACATAACACTCCCTCTATTATAAATTATTGCTTATATTGAATGATTGACTGAAACCCAAATTGACTACACGATCCTGACCTGGCCAGAGCTGACCTGACCTGACCTCTGTTATTGTTATTGGATATTGGAAGAGGCTATATCACCCCCTACCCCCCGACACTGACCTCTGATTCAATGTCCCTCCAAAATCAATGTGGACATTCAATAGACAGACGGAAAGACGAACAACCTAACAGATGAACAAAAAACAAAGGGAGAAAAGAACACAATGACAGGCAAACAAACGAACAAACAAAGAAACAATAAAACACCATAACAAACACACCACCCTCTACTCCACGGCCTCATTAAGAACATCACCTGGAGAGTAATAAATATTAATAAGGTCACTAAACTATTCCAAATGGCTCTGATTATAATTATTCTCCATTAGTTATATACCTGTTTAATAACTGCCCTGAGACTGACTGTGAGAGACTGATGTATGTATGTATGTATGTATGTATGTATGTATGTATGTATGTATGTGAGAACACGACACTGAACGGTATATAGTCTTTGCTTACGATTTTTTTTACAAAGGACTGAGATTATTAGTGACTGTCTGATTGTTAGGTGACTGTGTGGGTGTTAGGACTGTGTGGTTGTTAACGATTGTGTGGATGGCTGTAACTGACTGGCTTTTAGTGATTGTGTGATTTGTAGTGACTGTGGAATTTGTAGTGAAGATTGCCATTATGTTGAAGGACTTGAAGACCAGGGCCATGATCACCCAGCCAGTCAGCCACAGGGCCATGATCACCCAGCCAGTCAGGCACAGGGCCATGATCACCCAGCCAGTCAGGCACAGGGCCATGATCACCCAGCCAGTCAGCCACAGGGCCATGATCACCCAGTCAGTCAGTCAAACACCTTCACCACATCACTGGACGCAACAGTTTCATAGCATTATAACATTATAGTCCACACACTTTCTCCTACCCGTCACCACCACAAAAACACCACTAAAAGAGATAGAGAGAGAGAGAGAGAGAGAGAGAGAGAGAGAAACTCACTGGCTGGACGGAAAAAAAGAAACAACAGAGGAGGCCGGTTCTTACCCCTGGGGACGCCGGTCTATCTCC